TATAATTCAGTTTAATAAATAATTCAATAAATCCAAAATTGCATATACATTATTTTTTTATTCTTGTGTATGTCGCATTTTGGTTTACTTCACCAAATTATTTAACAATACAAAAAAGTATTTCTACTTATTAAAAAAATGATTTAGAATTTTGTTCCATGTATCAAAAACTCGTTTGTTAAGCAGCTGACATGTGCCAGTAATTAAAATACTATGAGATACAGTACATGTTGGCAGATGAAATTATATAATTCAGTTTAATAAATAACTCAATAAATCCAAAATTGCATATACATTATTTTTTTAATCTTGTGTATGTCGCATTTTGGTTTACTTCACCAAATTAATTAACAATACAAAAACAGTATTTCTACTTACTAAAAAATGATTTAGAATTTTGTTCCATATATCAAAAACTCATTTGTTTTGAAGAGTGCTCATATGAACTAGATTTTACAAATTAATTTACCTAAAATTTGAACTTAAGCAATATTGTTTATTAAATCATTAGTAAGTAAAATGTACTTTACTATGTAAATGTAAAACTTATAAGACTAAAATGGCTGTGTGGTAAAATCAAGTGTAATATTGTTCTTTTACCGCAGATACTATATTATTTTTTTTTAATTTCTTATACTGCTTATGCTAAGACCATCAATGAATCTCAAAAGCAAGACGTCAAATAGGATATTAAAGAGTATAGGATAGGATATTAAAAATGTTGAACTTTCGAATTATAGGTGTGGGTACAGGAGAACGTTTGTCGGGTCAGCTAGTATATATATATATATATATATATATATATATAATATAACACAATCACATCAACAGATACTCATTACTTATGGTAACAAGCTCCCTAAAAAAGTCAATAAAAATATATTCCATGTACACGAAACATTCAACATTGTATTTTTTGCAACAGCATCCTCTGTAATTATTCACTAAATACGATTCTGGTTAGTGTAACGATAACCACGCATTTTGGGTATTAAATCAAATTAGTTGCCATATGATTATACAGTGGCATGGCATGGAACCGTTAAATGTGATTTTTTATGTATATTTATTATTATTGTTGTGTAACGCATCGACGAGTGAGCTATATTATCAAATGCGATCTCACTATATAGCCATCGTATTGTTCATATGAAATATTACGGTTTGAAACTGTTTTGATCAACTAATTTACCTTTCCACATGAATGTATTCTGCACGGACCACACGGATCGTTTGGTAAAAGAGCGCCAGATCTTTGTTTGTTACATAATACAAACACCTTGAAATTACTAATTGTAGATTAGATTTAAAGTGAGAATTGCGTAAGGGAATAGGCCTATAGAAGTAATTGCATTTTTTATATATAATATATCAACAATAACAAATTATAACCTCATTACAACCAAGTTATTATGTTTTCAAATATTTGTGCCTATATCCAAGACTAACCGGTCAATACTGCCGTAAAATAGACTAATGTTATGACAAGGCTCTGTACGCTGCGTTTTTAATATAAAATGGTACTAAAAGCTGTCAAAATGCAATGTAATCTTCCTATAAGGAGACTACGCAAGAGACAGCCTATTGACTTAATGTAAAAAAAGTTGTTTTCTATAGTCATTTGCTTATTGGAGCAATTACTACAATTTGTTTTTTCCCCTTTCTGTTTATTTATTTTTCTTTATTCTTGATTTTACTATTTTCTTTTATTATTATTATTATTATTATGTGTAATTCAACCATATAACTTATAGAGTGTGGAAATAACTCTGATTCATATATAATGTAGCTTAATTCATATATGATAAAGCTGTTTGCTTCACACATAAAATATATCTTCTTATTGTATTATTATGACACATCAGAAATTTGCACTTATAATTAGATTTTTTAAGATAATTTTAAGGTTAGCTCTTATATCTAAAACGCCCACATTTTGATAGTTTTTAGTATTATTTTGTATGAAAACGGTAGCGTAACATAGCCTTGCCATAACATTGATCTATTTTACAGCAGAATTGGCCCATAGTACCTTTTTACCAATAATCGCTTGCCACATTAATTTAGAATGGATAAATACAATTGTATATAAAATATAAAAATATATATTTTTGGTTAGTTTCAAACATTATCCTAGGCCGAACGAATTTCACGTAAATCAATTTTTGCAAATTTTATTAAGAGTTAGAATTTTGTAATTTCAAAAAATATGGAATGAGAATTGAATAACTCGAGAAGTACATGAGAAATATTTCTATAGTTCATGACAACGCAACTGTTTCTCTTGAAGAATTATTTTGAAGGTTATTTTGTTCAAAAAATCTTATCTCACGATCATGAAATTGACTCCGAATACATAGAAGAAATAATTATATAATTTGCCTTGAAAAATTATATTTCAGTTGTTCTGGAAGTCTTACTTCCATTAGAACAATTTTATAATAAGAGTAAATTCTTATTTAGAACTTACAAACAAAAATTGCTAAATGCCCATAAATGCTGTACATATTTATATCATTCTAAAAATAATGGAAATGTGGATTACACTATAATGGTTTTGATTACTGCAAAATATGTAAATTTTTAGTGCAAAGTTTTAATTGCTTTTCCTATAATTATACACGTTTGTATAATTATATTGCGATTCTAATTATACGATCACGATATTATCTCGCTTTGGTATAATGTTTTAATGAAAATCACATTCAGTATTTAATTTAGATGGAATTAGTAGATTATTGATAGTATACGCTTATGTTGGTTCATAGACAATGCGTATGTATTTTGTAACGCCTCAAATAGACATACAAATATAAACATATATACATATATATATATATATATATATATATATATATGTATGTACCTATCTATTTGTATAAAATGTTTTCTAAGAGTTTATTTTACCATGTTTTTTTACTGCAAAGCTGCCGTCATTTTTACCAAGCAAGGTCACAATTGGAACTGGCTGAGTCTTAGTTTTTTTTATTAAAATTATATAATTTGTAAATTATTGTTTATTATATTACGGACATATACAATTGTATGTTTCATGTACAGGTTCGTTTTGAGGAACGCTTTAGGCTAATAAAGTATACGTGAAATTTTTATTAAAAATTCAAAATATTTGTCTGTTATAGGGATTTTGGTACAGTTTGTAGTAAGAGACAAAACAAGTTATACGAATATAATTTTATAGCATCAGCACATATGTAATTATAAAATTGTCTAGTGTTTTTAGAGTTCATAAGATAGAGGGTCTGAACGAAATCCTTTAAATAATCGTTTAATTGCTAAAAAAATGTCATTCTTCAAATCATACATATATATATATATATATATATATATATATATATATATATATACTAGCTGACCTGGCAAACGTTTTATCGTCATTAAAAATATTGTAGTATAAAATGGTTAGTATGAAAATAACTGATTTCAAATGTTGTGCATAACTGAAATGAGCAGCTTCAAAAAGATATATGAAAAGTTTTTCCACTGCATAGTACGCCACATATAAATGCCCCTGTTAATAGTCTTTGCAAGTGCCAACTTTATCTGAAACCGATTACATTTAAATTGTATTGGCACATTCAAAGTTTCAAGATTTTGATATATTATTACCACGCTTTTTATTAATTCAGTAATTTTGGAATTACAAAGCAAAATCCGATAATTCATTTTCAAATTGTATTGTTATGTGGCATGCTTAGCTTAGAAAAAAAATTGAGAGAGTGGAAAATTTTACAACTTTGCAATAGACTAGTGTGGTACCAAGTTTCCTATCAAAAACTGTTGATCTTCAGATTTTGATATTCATTGAATCTATTTTTTCTTTGCAAAAATTGCTCTTTTTGCAAACCATTTATCAACTATGTACTGTGTGTGCGCATCAGAAAATATTTGAACAATGGGAAAATGGGGGGGAGAGGTGTGTAGACAACCCTTGATAAAAATAAATTGTTTTTTTTTTTAAGTAAAATTCATGCTTTAAAATCAGGAAAATATAAATTGAAATTCAATATGAGAACACTCACTGACTAAAAATTATTCGATTACTAAAATGGATATTATGAAATAGATTTGTGGAAGAACGGTGAAAGTTTAGAGTTGTATGTATTTTTCAATTCCGTATGAAAAAATTAAAATAAAGAAAATTGGCCTAAAAATTAGAAAAAAGTGTTAGAGTTGGACAAATCTTTAAAAATAGTTTTTTAGAATAACATTCACGCATTTTCAAGCACAAATTATATGGTGTTTTATTATATTCCAATTTTATGGTATTGTATTTCGACATCTTCCGTATATTATTTTGTATGTACCCGTGACCATAATGTAATTAGATTTCCTAATGTTGTCCCACATCTAATATTCTGAAATGTTAAAAAAGCATTTATATTACCTGGAAATTAAATTCTATTGTTCGAAACAGCACTGATACTTTATAGCGGTCCTGTGTCGTATCAGATACAGATTAACTCGTTTTTTTGCAACAAAAATATCTAGCTAGATATAATTGCGTTCCGATTGTAAAATACCACAACGCTTCCAGGTGAATTCTTATTGAGTTCAGTGTCCATTTACTTAATGTACCAACGAATCTTGCGAACACGCAGATAATGCCGAATTGAAAACTAATTTATAATTGCTTTTTGTGAACGTGATCAAACACGTACCGTAGAGATCTCGCTGAATCATGGAATGATCGCACGATTGTATTCTAACTATATTTGTGTTGTTACTTGCATACGAACAAGGATGTTGTATAATTTCATGCTCTATGATTTGTTTTTGTTATTATATATTATAATTTGATTTTTAATCTTGTGAGGACAAGATATCATAAGTGGACCTTGTACCACATCATTATATAACATGATTCTTGTCCAGTTTTTCTAGTACAACGTTATTGTAATTTACAAATTGTACTGACATTAAAAGAACTAAAAACTTTTTTTAATATACACATTTATAATTCATCAATTTTATTATTTTAGTGGAAATCGAGATGGTGCGTCATGAGGAAATTGTCTCCAGTAGCAGGTACGAGATGCAAATATTCAATGATTTCGATCATCCTATTGAATATTATTATATTTAGTATATTGCCACTGCAATATACTCTAATACTACTAATAATGAAAATAATAAGCAGGTGGTAAATTAACACCGTTTGTACTAATATTTATATGTTCAGGTAGCGTGAATACATTTATCATAAGTGAATAATTATACTGCATTTGTTAGTATTTTAATTATTTGGAAGCCTTAATTAAATATAGTGCTACTTACATAAATTTTCTTACTATGATGATATATGGTTTCAAAGTATCGTTAGCTGGGTAAAACTTTTATTACGATTTCATGATCTAAAGGTCATTGACGTCGTCAATTGTATTTTAATAACATTAATTTAAGAATAATTCAAATAGAATTTGTAAATGGCGTAGAGATTACTGCAAAGATTGAGTATACTTATATATTGTATTAGTAATTGTATACTTTTCTGCGGTGTCTTGCTACGTCCGTTACTAATTTGAAAGGCTTCAATTTTATATCTGATATTGATCATGTTCGAAACGTTTTCAGCACGACCATTATGTATGTAATCGTGTGCATATAAAAATATTAATAACATTTATATTGTTCAATATCATGCATTTTACGATTCTCCGATAACGGCTTGCACGATAAGAGCGTAAAAATGCGCTAAAATTACCTCGGAGTTCTGTTGCGGGGCATAAGAGCCGCGATATCAAATAAAATTTATAAGCGCGATAAAGAAATGAAGACATTTAATATGCGGCTGCTACCTGTGTGACATGCAGATATGCGGTTGCAGGGAGACCGGGTATCGATGCTCAAAATGCACTTTCAATTCTAAATTGTTAGTAAAATCTTAATTCGGGCTTGCCCGTAGGTAAGCAGTTAAGAGCGACGGAACTTATTTCAGAAGTCCCGGGTTCGATACCCACTTCGAGCAGCCTGTTGTCAGGCAACAGTGACAACGATTTTCACTTGGAAATATAGATATCAATATATTTCCAAGTGAAAATAGCCCTCACCCGGCATTGTTGCACCAATAAAAATGTCATATATGGATGGATTAACCATTGGGTTACCATCTAAGAAATACGAAGTAAGGAGAAGTTTCAGCCCAACAGCTCATAGGACGTAAGGTTCTGATTGCTGTTCAAAAATTTTAAAAAAAACTTGATTCAATTAAAAATGTAGTTTTCTGGCTTAAGTTTTGTACCAATGTTACTTATCAGCAAAGCCTGTTCCATGCGATTATATCTGTACGCACTGTTGGCGAATATTGCCTAATCATACAACAGATATTGTTTTTCCCAAAAAATATAAAAAAGTAAGGAAAAAAAAAACAAATTCTATACTAAGTTTTGTAAAAGAAGGAAAACATAAAGCTAAAAAATGAACTAATTTAAATTTAATAATTCCCGCGTCACAAAAATAGATTCATTATTTGTTTAGTTTTCTCTAGAGTAGAGTGAAGTTTCTTATCTGAAATAAACTAATGGTCCGATTTTGCCGCACAACAGACCAATGTTAGGGCAAGGCCATGTTACGCTCCAACTTCGATACTACTCATATATTTGCTGTGTATTCAGGCAATTTTATACATAAACTGCTACGTCAGTTGTATGTTATGAAGCTGAGTCAGAAAAACCATGTTTCTATATTAGGTTTTCTATCTGACAACCTAAGAAAAACGCCTGACTGCACAACAACCACAATGCTTCTGTCAATATTTAGAATGAATTAGTATGCTCTTCATAACATAGCCTTGCCATAACATTTATCTGTTATGCGGCAGAATCGCTCCATTATTCTCGGTTAATGTTTCAGCTCTGTATATTAGTATTCGAAGTTTCTGATGTCCGCAACAAACTGCTTCGCCAATATTTGATTCTTAGCTAGAATAAATATATGACCCTATCTGCCGTAAAAGAGACCATGGTTATCGCAAGGCTGTGCTACGTTCCAGTTTTCATACAAAATGCTACTAAATACTGTCAAAATGCCATATATTTGCTGTGCAATCAAGCGTTTTATACATAAAATGCAACTTCACTGATATTAGGTTGTCAAATATCTCCCTTCCGCTTTTTTTGCTCTTGGTTTATGATACAAAAAGGCGGAAGGGAGATATTTGACAACCTTATATGTTATCAAGCCATATCTCAAAGATCCAGTTATGATAACATAGTATGACATTTGTGCGTTTAGGTTGGGTTAGGTTTTCTGTCTAAAACGCCTGATTACACAGCAACCACATACGATTTTGACAGTTTTTAGTACCATGTTATATAAAAACTGCTACATAACATAGTCTTTCCATAAAATTGGTCTATTTTACGGCAGAATCGCCCTCTTATTCTAGGTTAAACTTTAATTTTTGTACTCAACGTTTTGTGCGTTGTGCGTTTTCTAGGTAAAGTTTTCTACATAAAACGCCTGACTGCACAGCAAGCACATAGATTTTCGACAGTTTTTAGTACCACTTTATATGAAAACTACAGCGTAACATAGCCTTGCTATAACATTGGTATGATTTACTGCAGAATCGACCTCTTATTCTAGGTTAATTTGTAATCTTAGTATTCGCAGATTTCTGATGTCTCCAACACATTGCCTTGCCAATATTGTGTTCCTAACTAGGATAAACCTGTTCTGGATTAAACTTTAATCTTAGTATTCAACGATTTCCGGTGTCCCCTATACCTTGCTTTGCCAATATTTGATCATAACTGCTTTTATGATCGCTTCTACCAATTCCTTTGTCGAATGTCGCGCTGATTATTTATCGAACGTGCCAGGTCGCATTCGTTCGTGGTGCAGGATGAAGGCAGCCTGGAGTCGAGAAGAGGCTCATTTGTATTCCGATATAATGTTGTCGCTGCCGTAATGGGCAACATGCGGCAAGCTTCGATTTATGCTAATCATTTATTGCCGCTACTAGATGACTTGAGCCGTAGAGCCGGTACACGTTTTGACTACACTCTTGAAGCAGATTGATGATTTAAGGTGATTTTTTAGGGAATATCCGAAGCAGTCTATCGCTGATGTTATGTAGGTTGAATACTTCACACAGATTTCAGAAATATATTATATTTAATTTTGCGCAGAATTACTCAACTTTACTATCAACTTATATCATTATTTTTTAAAAACTTTAAAAACTTTAAAATTTTTTTTATGTTTAACAAAATAATGCTTATTGTTGCACAAAAAGAATATTTTCTTTATATTTCTAAAACTTTTATCGATAGACAATATATTGTAAAAATTTCATCGTCGAATTGAAATAACTTTTATTTCTGAAAATTCCTTTTTAAGCTTATCCAATTACATGAACCTAAATATGTCTGTTACATAACTATACTTATTGTAAAAATAATGAAACGAGGCCTTCTGCCTGATGGAGAATATGACTTTCTAAAGTTTCTAATAAACGTTTTCGGAAATATGGGATATATATATATATATATATATATATACATAACGATTAATGTTTTCCTAATTATACTTCTAGATATTTAGATTTTAATATTTTCTCCTGATTTTGTTTTTTTTACTTACGTTAGACAAATAATTGTCAATGCATAATGTGAAGAGAAAACAAGTTTTTTCTCACAAATTATGCAAATTTTAAATCATTTTCATATATTCTTCAAAACGTCTGAACTCGTTCTTTAAATGTACTCTTACTCTCCAACTACTAATTTATGATATATCTGCGTTTGAATTACGGTTCAACCAGTTTTAGTAAAGGTAATGTATTCACTCTCATTTATTAGTTATTTACATAGTTAACTACTTCGATGTATGACTCTTATAGTTCGACCTTCGATGTACTCTACTTTAATAATTGCCTTGCTTCTATGTTCACTTTTGCTTAAAGCATTCAAGACATCTTTACATCAAATTTACTCCTTCTGAAAAAACGCACAACATGAAATATGCAGACTTAAAACATAATAAAACGCACAAGAGCAAAATTCTCATAAATACTAGTCAAAAAATCTAAAATACTAATTATAAAATGATACCTGTTCCGATTTTCGTTAATTCTACGTTTTCTGCTTTATGTTTGCAATACTGTTGTGGGCATATGTTAAAAAGTGTGGAGGGTTCGGCGATAAAATTTTATAACACAACTAAGGCCACAATTAGACCTCGCCATCCAATTTGTGCAGCAATTCGATTTTTTTTGTTGCCCTCCGGATATATTTTTAATCTTATTCTATTCAGCTTTTGAAGATTAAACTCACTCCAGTCATTCTGGGTATCAGTTTGTTCGGCGATCACAAACATTGGGATAGAGCAGTAGTTGCCAAAGTAATAAAGATTAGACAAATACAATACTCGCTTCAGATATTTCTTTACAAAGATTTGCAATACTTTATATAACAAATTATAATTTCATCTTATAGTAAATATATCAGGAATACCAGTATCTACTTAAAATAAATATATCAGGTGTACAAATACAAATATAAATATAACGCCATAAATCTTCTGCCCAACGTTGATACTAATTCATATATCGTATTTTTTATATAAAATTCATAAATTAATCATTCTCTTTTGTTTCATTGTGCTTTTTTTTGGGCTTACTTCACACATGTGCAGGACTAAGATGAATAAAGGCTAGTTCGATACTCTTTGTCCGGATTGATGTTGTTCTATATTAAAAGCTTGTCTATACATATATTTATTCCCTAGTCTGTGGGTTTTGCCGCTTCTGCTCAATCCGCAGTGTCGGCTTCCAAATACCAGAAATGTGTGCGGGATGACTTTATTTGTAATCCTAAGCCGCTACAATAACGGCCAGATGGCTTGCATGTACGCCCTAAGTGAATACGATCAGACCCTGAAACACCATCGCTATAAATCCTATTCTTTTATTGACGTTTATGTATCTAGGACGTCCCCACGTCCAAATATTTCACTCGAGAGTTTCATGCTTAACGTAATGACTATTTTTGTATACTCCTCTGCTTCTGTTATGTCATTATCAC